TAGAGGATCCTGGAGTTTTATATATACAGTTTTGATTAAGAGAGTTGATGATTTGATATTATGACATTTTGAGATTTATTACTGTGATAAATGTGTTTTAAATTGAAATTTTTGGTTTGAAAATTTACGGTGTTATAAATGTAATATTGGTCCTTCTATTCATTCCATGCAAGAGTTGTAATGTATTAATGGATTAATAAGTTAGGGTTTTAGCTTGTGGTCCTTCCCTAGCCATGGAAAGTGATAAAGGAGGAAACTTTATGAATTAAGACAATGTTTTGGGGTTAGATCTAAGTTTGGGTGAAAAGTCTTTAAGGGATTAAGTGCTTAATGGAAAGGATGGAACCAACTCGAGTATGTTGGGTGTAATTTTGATACCCTGGGCATACTAAGCCATCCTATGTATGTGGGGCGTAAGTTGATTATGTAGGGCGTACTCAACCAGCCTTGGACTTTGACTTTTGTTGACTCCGTTGACCGTTGACTTTTTGACCAAGTTTGACTTTAGGTTAAACTTGAGTGTTTTGATTGAGGATTAAGATTTATATGGTTATGATGTTAGTGGTTCTGTAGGAGCAAGCAGTATAGTAGGGAGCGTATCATAGCCTTCTTGGGTTTCTTCATTTCAGGTGAGTTTCGCCTTACTGTACCTGTGGGTCAAAGACACCAATATCATCCTACTAGTTTTAGTTATATGCTAGTAGAGGGATGCCTAAGTATTGTATGTAGTCAAGTAGGATAGACTGAGGACTCTTGATTTAGGCTCTTTTACATGTTGCTTGTTTGGTTGCGGTTCTAGAGTCGGGTCAAATGTCCGGGTGTCTATCTCACATCTGAGTATATACAGTTATGTATTCCTTGGTTTATCAGTATTTAGTATGTTTTTATATTATAGTGATATGTTAGATCTGTCTCCTGGTATACAGGATGATGCTATGTTGTAGTGATGCGTTAGATCTGGATCGGGGTATATAGGATGTTGCTATGTTGGAGTGATATGTTAGATATGTATATTGGTATTGATGTGCACGGAAGTACCCACTAATTTTAATATTTATAACCTAACAAACTTAGACTAACTATGCACTTATAGGCAGTGTACCTAGTCAGATTACAGTATAGCTTAGGTAAGTCGGGTGTCGATCACAGGGAATGGTGTTACTTTATTTACTACTAAATTAATCTAATTATTAACAAGCTAAAAGGGTTTTTATCTAATTTTGAAAGGTTAGATGAACTTAATTATTTAATGATAACTTAATCAATAAACAAAACACTTCTATTAGTTCGAATCCACTTTCACTCAATGGTTATGCGTTAACTATAACTATTACTGTTGGTAACCAATTAAGATAGTATTATTAGTTTAGTTCTAAATCTACTAATTATCAATCAATTCATGTAATTCTATTTATTTTCATACAATAGTTAACACAGAATCAATTATTAAATAAGATTGGAACCATGAAGGATTGATTAATCAAAACACAATTACAGTCATAATATGAGTTCTCTAACACAGCTTAATTTAATTATTCAATTACTATTCTAAGATTGGTTTGATCTTAGCTCCAATAACTAGTGTTCACTATATTATTAGGTATTCAAGTTCATGCAGAATTGTGTTCACTACCTACACAGAACAAGGATTTAAAGCAATTAAATAACCAATTCAAGCATGCTAGGTAAAATCAATCAACACAAGCATATCACCAACAATTAAAGTCAAATCTAATGCATTAAAACCATGAGTTCCAGCTTCATCTAGCCAATAGAAGCAACTAGATTTAGCTGGACATATTAACAGTTAAAGTGTACCAAACTATGAATCAATTTATGTACTTCTACTTCCTTGGTGTTGAAACCAACTTCCAGGTATTTTTCTCCTCTGATTTTTCATCTTCAAGAACCCCTCTCAGCCACCAAAAGTCCCTTTAATTCGTAATGGAAGTGAATTTATAGTTTCTGGAAATTCACTTCTCATGTCGTGAGCATTCTAATTCTCACGTTGTGAGATCGAGAATAACCTTGTTCTGCAAGGATTCCTTCACCCGCGTACATATCTTCTAGAATCCTTCCCTCACGTCGTGAACCACATATTGCTCACGTCGTGAGTGCATCTATTTTGGGTGATTTTCTTGTCCTTTAATCTTTTAACTCCCAAAGTTTCTTCCTTTAACTTTTTAGTCCCTTTTCTTCAAAATATCTTCTTTTTGGCTGCAAATAACATTTAAACTCATAAGTACCATTATTCTTAACAAATTACCAACTTATATATAAAAATGTACTTAAATATTGCCTAAAAAAAGAGGTATAAATTTGGAAATATAAGGTATATAGGATGTTATCATGTTGTAGTGATCTATTAGATCTGTATCCTGGTATATATGATATTGTTATGCTGTAGTGATATGTTAGATACGTATCCTAGTATATAGGATGTTGCTATGATGTAGTGATCTGTTAAATCTGTATCGTGGTATATAGGATGTTGCTATGTGGTAGTGATCTGTAAATCAACGTGTTTACCTGTACTTGGTTGTTATCATCTAGTGGAGTGCCCTAGGGAATGTATGTGTTCATGTAGAATAGCCTGAGAACTCTTGATCTAGGCTTTCGTGCATGTTCCTTATTTTGTTGTGGCTCTAGAGTAGGATCATCTATTTGGGTGGCTATCTCACCTCTGGTTACTTATGGTTGTGCATTTCATGGAAGATAGCTGGTAGCGGGAGAGTGTGCGGTATGAGGACCAATAGGCGGTAATAAGCTGTATGATTGTTGTTTGCATGTATTTTGTGTCTACTTGATCCTGATTGTTTATATGTCGACATATGATAATGGTGGGTTGAGGCGGTCTTACTCATGTTGTAGGCCAAGATACCCGGTGCGGGTGGGCTGTAAGTCGAAGACACGGATGCTCGGGAGGAACGTTTGGGTTGAGGCGGTAGACCAACAAACCCTGGTATTCTCGCCCAGATATACTAAACACCTGCGAGGCGGTCCAGTCAAGCCGAAGAATGGCCATTATGCATTCTTGGATTTTTATCGTATGGGGTATTTTAGGGGAAACTCACTAAGTTTTGTGCTTACGCAGTTGTTTATTGTTTTTGGTATCATCGGTCATCATAAGAAGGCGAATGCATGACTGTACATATTCATCAGCAAAAATGAAGATTCCACACTTTAATATTACTCTGATTTTTATAAATGTATTTGGAATAATCGGTTTTCTCCATAATGGAATTATAATTGGGAAGATTTACTTCAATAAAATGGAAATTTTGGTTGTAAAAATTGGATGTTACAACGTTTTTTTTTAAGTTAACGAATGAAATTTGTTATATGTGGTCCGACTCATACGTAGAAAATGTAAATAAAATTAAGTACGAAAACGTAAAAAATATTTCGAAACATAGACAAACTCGAATATATAACAATACGTGCATAAAATGCAAGTAAATTAATAAAAATTAACAAATAGAAGTTCAAAATCACATCGAAACGTTGAACACCTTGAATTTATACCTACACATATAAAAAAATAAGAACGTAAAAAATAATTTTTTAGGTTAATGAACAATTATTTTGGAAATCGAATTATATATATATATATATATATATATATATATATATATATATATATATATATATATATATATATATATATATATATATATATATATTAGGGATAAACATGAAAGTTTAAAAAATAAATGGGTGAAAATAAGAAGTTCAAAACGAACGATGAAAATGAAATTTATAAAGTTAAAGGGTGAATGATACAAATTCTAAAACATAAAATATAGAAAAATTACATAAATTTATAAAGTTAAAGGGTGAATGATACAAATTCTAAAACATAAAATATACAAAAATTACATAAATGGTCACTATAATTATCCATTATTACAAACTCAGTCTCTACTACTTAAAAAGATTAAATTACTCCTACACCAATAGAATTAGTACTAATGTGGTTAACAAAAAGCATAATTCATGCAAATTTTGAAAACCACAGGGACCATGATCATAAAAAAAATTAACGATGAATCTGTGACTTTTAGTACACCTAAACCATTTATGTAATTTTGTAAAATATATAAAACAAACCGAAATTCAACCCAAAAGATATAAACAAAGATCGCAAGATCGGACCACTTTGAGACGGGCCTAACAAACTAGACCGGATTAAAACCGACCCAAAACCGTTAATATCCCTTAATATGCATCTCTAGATAAAAGTAATTCAAAATCAATTATGCTATACCAAAAGCCGTTATACAGGTAAGTAGGTAACTAGCTAAGTGGGCTATTGGTCTGTATTGGATTATTATTAAAATGTCAAAGTTATACTATAAATGGGCTTGGGGCATTGTACGCTTTCTGTATGTAGCTCAGATTCAAGACTTCAATATGGATCAGATATTCGGCTAACAAATTAAAAGCTCCAAACTATTTGAATTAGATTTTGGATATCTTTTTTATTTAAAATAATAATAAAAAAAAGCCCATACTCGAAACAAAACATTTTTTTTTTTAATTTAAAAGGTAAAAACTAAAACTAAAAACTTTCAAAAAATCTATATGCCTAACACACACTGTATAAAGTGATGCTAAATGGATCTCTAAAGGGACATATGCTGAATGGATCAAATATTTAGCCACCATACAATACGTGTTTTCTCGGTCTCTATAATCCTTTGCTAACGCGTTTAGTGACGAATTTTTCATTGGTTGGAAGTTTGTTTCGTGGTAATACTTCTGTTATGTAATATGTGTCACTAAATGAGTTATTATGTCTTTCATTTCGACTAATATATATGCATGGTTGCTATGTAAAGATATAATATGCATTACATTCATAAATCAAATTAACAGTCATATCGAAGCTGGAAATACACAAACAAGAAACAAATGGTCGACAATATAAATGCTACTTGTGTGTTAAGCTATAGATTCAAAGTCTTTATTTAAACGACGTCATTTAATCTTCTCAAGAATCAAGATCCCTTATTTTGTCTATAACCATACCTAACCCTACTTCCCCAAGATCCTTCCATACGGTCAGCACGATGAGTCGACCTCTTCTTGAGCTCAACAATCTGTGCCTCCCACCTCCTCCCCTCTCCTCCATGATCTTTGAATGTACAACCATGACAGCCGAGTGTACAATCATACTCTGCTCGTGATACTGGATCCATGAGTGTCTTGTACGCTGCATGCAACATAATGAACGTTTTGACAGTGTCGTGATCATGAGAAACATCAGGATGATACTTGAGAACTAGTGTTCTATAAGCTCTTTTGATCTCTTGGCTTCCTGCTTTGCTTGAGCTTAAAGAAAGAAGTTTGTAAAAGTTGGTAGTCGAGCCTGTGTCATGGGATGCGGATGCAGATACTGATACTGATCTGCATCCCGTGACACATGGGTTGTAACCAAAACGTAGAGAGATATTGGCCATATATGATCGTTTATGTAATCTGTTTTTAGCATAAAAAATTATCGGGTTTGTGTGTAATTGTGTTAGAGTTCGCTGTGGAGGAAATATATATATAGTTGATAGTTTGGTACTAAACACGTTTTGTTTAATTAATATAAGGTGGTGGAAAAAGGAGACGACTGTTTCAAAAGTACAAGTGGATATGCATAGAGTATAAACTTGTTTAGCTGTGTGTTGAGGGAGAGTAGGACACGAGGAGAAGATAAGGTATAGAGACAAAGGCGAGAAGCTCAAAGGGAAAAAAAGTATTTAACAACAAATTGAAGACGAAAGACCTGTTGACCTCATGGTTTACATCGACGGAAGGTTTCAATTTCTGTATAAAACATTCTGTCAACGTTTAGGATTTTTTTAAATCCGTGGTTTATCTCAAAGAAATCAGTGGATTTGATTCATGTAATGTTCCTTTTACACCTTGTTTATGGATTAACAAGTTTTGATTATTGGGACAAATATACAAAACGATAACGAAACTAAAATACAAAGTAGAGCTATAACATGGCAAATTACCTTTGCATTTCTGTACTTGTATGTATAGATATGAGGAGTGAGGACAATCCCACCCACACTAGAGGTAGCATGGCACCTGCCTCTCTCAAAAAGTTGAAGATATGTAAAAAAGGCCTAAGAAAATATTTTTTTTTAAAATTCCCTTTTATATAACTTTCAATCACATCCTTTTACCAAAATGGCAACGATCATGCTGCCAACTACCTTTGTCATATTCCCCCATCAAAGATTTCAGGAATATATTAAAATTATATATATGGTTTGCAAGTATATAAAAATAAAATTATATAGTTAAAATATTTAAAAAATATATGTTAAAAATAATCAAGTAATTATTATTAATTATAAAATAATTTCTTTATACAAAATCAAAAGGTTGATATCATGTCTTTGTTAGAAATAGGGAATAAAGAGATTGCTTAGATTTTCTGAAAGTCGTGATTCACTATCAAATTGAAGTATTTCGATGTTACATATCAAATATTCAATTGGATGAAATCCAGAGAGACGAAATCAGAGAATGTATCTGAAAATGTTCTTCAAGATGTACTAGAAAATTGACCAAAAACGGCTATATGATTCCTGTCTGAAAACTATCACTAGACAGTTACAAACTGTCATAAAAAACTAACAAACCTGTCATTAAATGGATCTCAAGGAAAAAAGGGTCAACTTTCTAAAATTGGATTTTTGATGCATATTTTTAATATAGCACATAGTCTAAATAAAAATATTCGTGCTGACATAGCAGCTCGATCCCTGCCAGGGGCTCTTCCCCTTGGATCCCGCCAGGGGATGCCGTCCCTAGGACCCCGCTCCCAGGAGCGTTGCCCCTGAACACCCATTCGTTTAGGGGTTTCGCCCTTAAATAACAGTGTATTTTGAATCTTGAAAAACTTGAACAAGTGTGCACTCCTACATTATCTTAACTTGTTCAATATTCAACAATATCACTTTTGGTCAACAAATTTAATCCTATTACACTTAAATAATATTGATGATATAAAATCACCAACAGTCTTGAAATGTATTATAAAAAAAAACACCCTATTTGAGTGTTGGAAGTTAAAAAAAATTAAAAATAAAAAATAAAAAATTGTAATAGTTATATTGATGAAAATTTGGATGTAATTAACTAAAAGAATTCAAAATAAAATATTAGATTGAAGAGATATTGAACTTAATTACCCACACGTTCTCGGTAATTTACACATATCTCGCAAATACCAACTACACTTTTAAATGATACAACTAAAATCACTCCCTTTAAATTCAGTAGCTAATTATTATCATATTCTCTTTAAACATTAAGAAGAAAATGTTGTGAAAAGACCATGAATAGACCATGGATAATTGGATAATTAGAGTTTTTGAAAGACACAATATTGTCATAACAAATAAATGTCATATCCTAGATTAAAATATTTGTATATTATATATATATTTCAAAATCTTTATATATATATATATATATATATATATATATATATATATATATATATATATATATATATATATATTTCAAATCGAAGAACCATTGTTGGTATTGTATTTTGTTCAAAACAATTCTCACAAATACTACTGTAGTTTTTTGTAAAAATAATTCTCACGAACCATTACACGATTACCCGTAAAATGCTTATAGTATCTATTTTAGTCTTATCATATTATCATTTATCAATGTCAAGCATTAAAAAAATGTCAAATTCCACCTAATAATTGATATGTCAAATTTTGTATCAATCGTTGATGACTTAAGTCTTCAACATATATATATATATATATATATATATATATATATATATATATATATATATATATATATATATATATATATATATATATATATATAGAGAGAGAGAGAGAGAGAAAAGGAGATAGATGTATGCACCAATGAGAACTCAGGAAATAATTAAATATATTAATAAATAAATAAGGGAATAATAGTAATCTTAATATATCTAATTATGGTGAAAGACTAATTCAATTAATATATCCTAAAATAAGGGAATACATTAAACACTATAAAACCTGCATCCCTTTATAAATTTTTGACTAAAATATCATCACGTATCCCTTTCTCAAACCCCTATGCCCCTCCATCGAAGGTCTGCAATTACAAAGATTCTTGGTCGAAGTTTGGCGCTTTTGAAACCCAAACTACACCATATGATGTTCATTATCGTCTCTGATTTGGATGATTCGCTTCAACCTGAAATCAACGTGAGAAGTTTACTTTCATCCATCTTTCACTCTTGTTCCTATTATGGTACGACTGTGAAGAAGCATTAGTTTATCCAATGAAATGCACAAATCAATTCTTTGGCTGTCATTTCAGAGGTTAGGGAGGTATTATCGGGATTTATGGAAAATGTGAGCCTTGTTCTCTCATTATTATAGTTTCTAGTTTTTTTTTTCCTCTGTAAATCTAATTGTTTTTTACATGTGTTTCAACTGAGGTCTTCATTCAATTCTTACACTTGTTTTTTACATGAATTTTGGCTTGTTTGATAATAATGTCTAACAAGTGTTTGTTGAAATGCCTGAGAATCTAAAAAATCTAACAATGTAGTATGCATTCTGTCAGAATTAATAGCAACACATGTTTTATTTCTAGTTTTCTTTATGTAAATCTAATTGTTTTTTACATGTGTTTCAACTGAGGTTTTCAATCAATTCTTACACTTGGTTTTACATGAATTTTGGCTTGTTTGATGATAATGTCTAAAAAGTGTTTGTTGAAATGCCTGAAAGAGAATTTAAAGAATCTAACCATATGTTATATATTATGTCAGAATTACTAGCAACATATGTTTTATATAATATTTATATTCTAATAAAATGAACAAGTTTTTGCAATTTGATATGGAAAAGAAAGAAAACATGGTAAATGAGAGTATAAGAATTGATGAAAACCTTTCAGCAAAGCATCATGAGGCAAGGAATACATTATATGAGCATTCTTTAAAAAACATTCTCATAGAATATCATTGTTGTAAAAATGGTTTTCTAAACTTTACTATTTTTTCTATTGTACAAAAGTTTCAAGATTTTTAAATTGCAAATTTTTGGTTTGTTAAGTTTCATCATCTATAAATACGATTGCAAGTTACAAGTAACATGTTTTTAATAGTGGCAATTAAAGATTGAGTTGGTTTGAATTGCTAATAAATTAATAATATTTAAGGATTGGATTGTAGATTTTAGATAATATATATATATATATATATATATATATATATATATATATATATATATATATATATATATATATATATATATATATTAATTTTAATAACCATCACCTATTCCAGAAGATCTTAAGTTAAAATAAAGACGATTTAACCATAAATAGACAAGGAAAGGCTTGCAATTTGATTCTTCTTATGGTGGGTTAATTGGTTTTCAAAACTTTCATATAATCTAATAATGTATTAAGGGGTTGTTTGTTTGACATCTTAATGATCCCATCAAGAGGCTAGATTTAGATGATTCAGATTCAGAGTGTTCGGTTGAACCCTTTTCAAGGTAAGATGTGGCAAAAATAGATCGGATTCGGTAAGACCTAAGGATGAGCCAAAATATATAAAAATAAAAAAATAATTTTTCTTTTACCTCAGCCATCCTTACCCTAACAATGAAACATCATACACCTCTTTTTTATTCTTCTCCTTCTTCTACATATCAACAACTCCTCTCTCATTCTCCATCTTCTTTATCCCCGTTGAAGCTTCCCTGCCATCCACCAACTTCGTCGCCGCCTCCCCCTGCCAACCTCTGGCAGCATTGCTCCATTTTTGACTCCCCCCCCCCCCCGCGGGGTCCTCCCCTTCGTCGACAAGTTTTTATTTTATTTTATTTTTTTTCATTTTGGCTCAAAATTGGTGTTTCAATCATGTTCTTGCTGCTCGATTTCTATGAAATTCGCGTTTTAATCATGTTCTTTCTACTCTATCTATGTGTTTGACTTTGACCAATCCATTTAATGGGATTTTAGTGTTTTTGATAGATTCTTGATCAACATCAGTGTAATTGTTGTTAGGTACGTTTTGATTGCTTATGATCAGTTGATGAACACAACTTTGTGTTTTTTGACAGATTCCATTTATGAAATCCAATTTTATGATCACGTTGTACCTATTGTTAATCTTTTATTCATAGCTTAAATTATCAGATATAGTTTTTGCAAGTGGTTACGATTTCATATAATAGTAAATTCCCCAATTGAGTTTATTGCGAGATATTGTTATAAAATGTGTTATACTGTGATCTAAGGATAGTTATATGACAAATTTGGATGTTGTATGATATCTAATTGAATGTTGTATGATATTTATTTTGTATGTAAAAAATAGTTTAGAGGGTTAAAATGATCATTTTTCTTATTAAGAGACAAACACTCACGTGTTTAACCAAACATTAATTTATGTTCACATACAGATTCATAGTCTCTGCATCATCAGACATCAGTATCATTTAAATATGAATCTTTCTGATTCTACCAAACAACCTCTAAAAATAAGGGGGGAAGTTTGTATTTTTTCAAGAGGTATAAACTATTTTGCAAGTAGGCTTCCACTTAATTCGTTTGTCAATTCCAAAAAAAACTAGAAGTGTTTGTTTAAGATTTTTCAGAAACCAAGCTAATTAAAGGACTTTTTTAGGTTTGTTTAACTAATGATTTTAAGTTTTAAAATATAAATTATAAAACTTTAAATTAATATTTAATTTCTTATTCAGGTGATTCGGTTAATTCGAATTAAAAAAAAAAAATTAACTAACCCAAACCGAATAAGATTTTTCACATTTGATTAACCATACCGAATAACTCAAACCTTATTTGGTTCAGGTGGGTTATTCGGTTTCAGCTTTTGTTTGACATCCTATTTAAGGGAGACCGTCAACAACAGGAATTCGTTTTTTAAATAAAAAACAAAAATTCTTTTTATTAAAAATATAGAGTTGGTTTCGATCAAGACCGAAGATAATCCAAGGCTTGAGCACCAACATCTATATAAAACTTTAACTACTTATTATAGGTGCTCTTGCTTTTTGCAACAGTAATTCTTAATATACCCTTAAAATCTTCCAATAGTTTCTTGTAGTAGATGAATTTATAATGTGTCAACACGTCGAGTTTTAAGAAGCGTAACTTTTAGCATAGGGTTAAATGTTAATTAATTTCCTAACCGTAAATGTATCCTATTGTCGAAATCCAAATGATAAACGAAAAAGTAACAAATATTTTTTAAGTGAGAAGAATCAACAACTTTTTGTTAAAAAAAAAAAACATATCTAAAGCCCTACCCAACACGTGAACTAAAAAATTCAAAAAGAATAGCAAATTTCATCAATTGCCAATAGGTTGCATTTATCCAATGGTCTGTTATACAAATATAGAAATGGGGTAAATTTTATACACATGCAATTACAAATAGCAGAGTGTGTGCCTTATCTGTATCTATGAAGTGGATATTTTTTCAACCAAAGACACAATCACCGCCACATTGTCCGGCTTGCCGCCACTATATCCGGTGTATCCGGCCGCCTGAGCAGCATCTGAGAACGGACTTCTTACAAATGCAGACACCCCTACCTCTTGTGCTCGTGTTGCCAATACTCTAGCAACTTCCTAAAATTGCAATTAATTAATAGCAATCAAGTATTGAAGAGGAAAAAAAGGAGATTAATATATTATTATATTTTATATATTATATCCACCTCTGGTTTCATCCCAGCTTGTAGTGACTTTGATACCACCATAGCTATTTCTTGCTCGTATAGATTGTCAAAAAGTCCATCTGTTGCAGATACAACTATGTCACCTTCCTCTACTTCAATTATGTGTTCCTGAGATATATATAAATCATATATAATATAAAGTATCGAAAATTAAATAACATTACTATTTGTTATATTAATAAAATAAAAATATTTAAAAACATTCACACCTCCACAAGTTGCAAGGGATCATCGAGATTTTCAACTTGCAATGCGAAATGGAACTCGTGAAGCAATGGAGAAGATTTCTTGTAAACAGCACCATGTCTGATTATCAAAAATCCTGTGTCTCCAATGTTAGCCACATGAAGAGCCTGTTGGAAATTAAATTTATCAGAAAATATATATTTCCTTTTTTTTAATGATTGCGTTATAATTAATTAATTAATTAGAAATACAAACCTGACCATTGAAGTTTGCTATCATAATATTCGAGGAACCTGACATATTTGTTTCTTCGACACCTCTACAAAGAAGTTCAACAGGATTGGTCATTGGAACATTACTGATGGTATCCGAGACTGAGACAATCTCTTCACAGGTTTTCATGAGCTCTTGTGCATAAATTCCTGGATCAGTGCCTGTATTTCAAAAGGTAGAAATTAATAATAAAATGAATAACTTTTTTTTAAGAATAAAAAAACAATTAAAATTATGGATGGGTGGCATTCAGCTACAATGAAATACCTTCGAATGACCATTGGCTAACCCCACTAGCTACCCCTAGCCATTTGCTGCTAGACAGAAAGTACGCATCATCTCCACCTGTCAATGCCTGGAATTATTATTTCTATTACTAATCCCACATGGTTACCTCTTATGCCAATTAGAATCCAATATATCTAAGATAAATACGACTGAATGTAGGATGAGAGTGATTAATGATATTTAGTTAATGACATACATAATATACGTAATGAATGTCTGAAGATATGAATAAAAGAAATTATACCTTAAATGGATGCTTCAACAAAGCTGCACCAGAAGACAGGATGTAGCCTGTGAGATAAATCTCCTCAATTCTTTCTGCTTCCAGTTGTGAGCCAAAGGCACCTTGTTCGAGCTACAAATCATAATCAAATAAAATATTACCAGTTGCTTCCAAAAATTACAGGTAATATATCAGATATCTGTAAATATATATTTTATCTAGAGGTAACAATTTCTGTAGAAGGAATATATTTAAATCCGATGAGATGAAATATATTCATATTACATACAGATAAATATGATATGATAAACTTTGAACACAAGGTCTTTTTTCTGTTACCATTGATTTTTGCAAATTCATAGCGATATATTTTTTTTATAGATTCATTAGGAAAAGGAACAAGAGTCTAACCAGCATTGAGCTTCCAAGTGCATCAATTTCAGCACATTGTTCCAACATGTTGTGATTTAGTACTCCCTCATCTTGAACTAGTTGAGCCTCTAATTGATGCAATGATTGCTCAACATCCTTGATGTAATTTTCACCTGCATCCTCTTCGATGATTTGTAAAATCACATCATCTAGACTTTGACCTTTAGTATCCTGAACTTCAATATCTGAAACTTGGATGCTATGCTTAAGCTCAGCAGGGGTTGAACATGGCTGTTTTTCCTCCTCTTTTATAACTGCTTCTACAGGCATCACATATGAAACATCATTCTCATCACTATTACCTGTGTTCACTTCTTGCAACCCTTCTACCAAATCCCCATTTGCAACTTCTGTAAGTTCAATATCTGAAGTATGCATGGTTTCTGGACACATTGAATCTTTTGCATCACTCTCTGTAGTATCTTTGGTTTCCACCTCAAGCAACTCATCCATAGTTTCAAGCTTGACAGACACCAATGGATCCACAGTTTCATCAATGACTTGTAAAATTCCATCATCCGAGTTCAGACTCATAGTATCCTGAAGCTCAATATCTGAAACCTGCATGATGGGCTTGAACTCAAGAGGGGTTGATTGGGGATGACTTACCTCCTGTTCTATAATTGGTTCTGACTCTTCTATAAAGGTAACAGGCATCACAAGGCTCACTTGTTGCAACTCATCTTCCACAGGCTGATCCTTAACATCCATGCCTTTAGTAGTTAAAACTTCCATGGTTGCCTCATCTAAAGGTTCAGCTCCTAATGAATCAGATGTGGGCATCTCATCAATGAGAGTAATCCCATTGATGTTCATATCTTGTAACTCTTCATTGACATCCTCATTTGCAGCACTTGTTAGTTCAACATCTGTAATATGTATAGTTGCAGGAGGGATTATATCTTCTGTATCACTCTTGCTAGTATCTTCAGTTTCCACCTTGTCCAACTCATCCTCAGCATATGGTTGTTTAACATCCATGACTTCAATATCTGAAGCTTGTATTCTTTCAGGCTTGATAGAAACTAATTGATCCTCAGTTTCAGGTTGAGCAGTGCATTCTGTTGTATCAAGCGTGCTCTCTACATCTTTAAGAGATTCATTCATTTTAGCATTAAATTGCAGCAT